TATACAGTCTATGAGCACGAAGCGCTTACAATGTGCGCGTCTGGTGTGCAAAATTATGCGCTTGAAGCAACCTGGCGTCACATTCTGCACACCGGATGCGCACATTTGTAAGCGCTTCGTGTTAAAAACGGCAAAGCACAAAGGGAAGAGAAATTGATGCGTACTGTATTATATCTGTGCAACAGTTATTGAGCCTTTCTTTTAACAGTTTTAAATTTCAGTTACTGTGCACGTTAAAAAAAGAAAGAAAAAAAATCTTGGATTTAGATCGGCCCTCTCTGACCGATACCCGATCCGAAAAAAATGGCACTATCGGAGCCGATACCCGATATTAATATCGGATCGGCGCATCCCTACTATTTACCATCCATTTTAACTGAACAACAGCATCAAAACTCACATGCTGGACATTTATTTGTTAGCCAAAGTTTCAGAGACACTCAGAGATAACAAGATAATCTTGTTGCCTATGGTCATCGCTAAAATTCACAGGATATAAACTGAATGGGTGTTTCTTGACCGTATGCTATAGTGGGCTGCTGCTCCTCACAGGACCCTGGGAGTACGTTTGTGGCCGTGAACCAGGATCAGAAAGGAAGGGCAAACCTTTGAATGACACTGCAAGGCTCTCTGGAAACCAGGCCTTTTAAACAGCTTAAGCAGCCTATTAATACCATGAGGGATCTAAAGATTTAGGATTTAGTCGTGACAAGCTTTCAAAGCAGAAGTACAGTGAGCAAAGCCCTACCACTACTTGTTCTGCTACAGCTACCTACAGAAAGCAGGAAAAAAGATACTGTATTTCAGAAAAAGCTCAGGTGTTTCCTCCATTATATATATATATATATATATGTATGTAAAAAAAAAATACTTTTATTAATAATAATAATTGTAAATGTAAACATTGTTTTTGACATTTTTATTTAATATTTTATTTGTTTAGGGACAGATGCAATAAACATAGATGAAACTGAAATAACAGTCATCCCATGCATGTATCACAGTGCTTTAAAAAAAATGACACTTTTATTTAAAAAGTTATTTAATTATTTAACCCTAAAAAGGGCATTTACCTCAAGTACATTTACACATTGTCCACCTTTGACTGGAGATTTTTGGAGCGAGGAGCAGGTGAGCTTTTCACTGACCATGACTGCATCTCTATTGTCAAAACACAATACATCCATTGTTCAAGCCTTGTATCCATTTCAAGACCAGTCCAAAAATCCTGAAATTTAGACATTCAATAACAAAAAAAGATCCAGCCTGGCATATAAACATGACACGCAGTGCCTTGAAACGTATGGAACAGCCTTTTGAAAAACAGTATGAAAGCAGGTATTAAAATAATTTTAATAAACAATCATTTAAAAATTGACTAAAAATCATTCTAAAAATTATTTTAATCATTTTTTCCTATAATTGGTATACATTGGTAACACTACTCCATAAGCTACACTGTGAAAACATTGTCACACTACTGAAAAATAATGCAGTTAGTGGGAAACAGTGCTTTCTTGTGAACAGCATTTGTGAACCAGCTACACTTTCAATTGACTTTAGTTCAAGAAAAAAAAATTCTATTCAAATGCTCCACCACAAGCTTATAACTGTAACACCCACAGATGGTTATGGTAAAACTTTGTGTGCATATCTGACTGCGTTAGTGCAGCTAGTGTTATTCAAAGCCAGTCATGAAATGAGTACTTTCCTTAATATTTGCATATGGTATCAGTAATAATGTGAAAGCCATCTGCTGCAGCCACAGCTGACAGGAGTCATGATCAGAGCAAAGATGACCTTGCTATATCACAAGCTCATCAAGGCACTTTGCATTTACTTAGATACATCCAATTAAATCTAATTTCCATCAATGGCACAGCAGAATGTTTTGCCTCTGCAGCCTTAAACCTGCTTGGCTCATGTCCCGAAATGTTCAGTGTTAGCGTATTGGATTGTGGCTTTTATGTCATTTTAATTAATGAATTTATTTATTTATTTTATTTAACAAGAGTAAAGTTAAAGCACTTGCGCGTGCCTCAAAAGGGGGCTTACAATGAATTACAAAG